TTAAAGCGAATTCATCTATTTAGAAGGCGATACATCAAAGGGCTTGTTTGCGAAACTCGGAATGTACAGCTGCTTACGAAAGTATTTGAATATTTATGGGAACTTTGGGATGAATAGATACATTGTATCTTATATAAAATATTTTGGAATTTCACTGACACTGTAGTGACACTCAAGTTTAAAGCAGATCTAAAAATACCTATTGAGATTACAATTGTAAGTACACAGCGTTTCGCATGAATCACAAAAATAAACAGTCAAAAAAGTATTATATTGTATCAATAAATTTAAATACTTAACATTTACTATATGCCGAAGATGTATAGTTGTTTAACTTTTCTTACTAAATATGATATTAATATTTATTTGCAATAAATACCTTATAACTTTTACGCCAACTTCCAGATTGGTTTTAGATTTTAATAAGCTATTATGACATTTAAATGATAGTGTATTAATATATAAAACTTGTTCTGTAGTAAATATTCGAATGCCGTAACCATTGTATGTGAAAAGTGGAACATGATTAGCCAATATCAATCACACAGTGGATCAATTCGAAAATTGTTATACCTAAAATAATTACATGGTTAGGTGTATTAATTATACGTTGAATTTCTAATTTCATAAGGTAATACCAAACATTGGCATTCCTTTTTTCTTCCAGTTAACGCTACTTTTATTTTATTATTATTATCAAATATACAGACGATGCAAAAGCAATGCAGACGTCTTTCTTTTTCATTTCAAAAATTTTGCACGCGTGAGCAGAGTTTAGAACGGATTGCTCGAAAACTGTCAAGGAACAATTCGAGAACTACGAGCTGTTGGCAAGCATTTCTGGTCAGTGTGGAGCCAACATTAGAGTCGAAATCTAGCCTGTTCGTACATAGTATATACCGTTACCATTAAAGAGGAAACTGCCTTGAAAGAATGCACTACGTGGTCAAATTTATCGCGGTGAAGTTTCCCTTTGACTTTATGGCATCGAGTCAAGTGGTTGTTGAGAGCTTCTACCTGCAGCGCAATCGAAGCTTTGTTTCTTTGCAACGTTTCATCTTTGCGTCGTTCTTTCAGCGGCAAAGTCCAAGAAGCAAATAGTGGAGTGAAAGAAGCGAATTTAAAAGAAGGCGATCGATTGTTGGGTTAAAATTTTTTACCAAGGTCTTGCTTGTTAAGTATTTACGGCAAAATATTCACGAAAGTCTTAATATTATTATACCAACTGTTCTTGATAAACAAGTTTATGTCAGATTACTAAAATGTGGGACATTTAATTGTATCTTGTATTTCATAGTCTTCACGACAGTGATGAGTAATAAGATTGAATTAAATTTAGGATGGCTATACAAGATTATGTTAGATTACTAAAACTTGAGGTATTTAATTCTATTTTCTAGTTTACAGTCTTCGTGACAGAAATTAGCAATAAAATTAAATTAAATGAAAGATTTCAAAGATATATTATTTAAGTCTAAATTTTTATAGCTTCCAATATACATATATATATGAAATTTCCAATATATATATATATATATGTGTGTATGTGAAATTATAAAAATTTAGACTTAAATAATATATCTTTGAAATCTTTCGTTTAATTTAATTTTATTACTAATTTCTGTGTATCTAATATCAATTGTATCAATTGATATCAATTACAACATAGAATGATATTCTAATCCATGTCTTACTCTGATTTAAAGTATCTGTTCAATATAAAAATGTAAAAAGAAAATAAGATAAAATATTTAATATTTTTAAAAATAAGTTTACTAAAATTGAAGAAAGATATTTAATTTTTTACTTGCTTGATATTGTTAATTTTATAAGTTTAATTAAAATATACTTCACGTTTCGTCCAGAAGTTGAAAGAGATCTATCTATAAAGAACTATATATTTTAACATTGTCAATATTCTAGAAGTAGTTTAATTTCAGTTAACAAATTAATCAAAATCCATAAAATGTGCAAAACCACGCCTCTTTCTGTTTTAAACATTTAAAATTTGAGAATATGTAGATTTCTGTGATTCTGTATGAGGTCATTTTTTCATTATCATTCTTTCTTAATATTTATTTCTTTAAAAGTAATTATAAATTTCAAGGTGTGCAAAAATCTGATGAGAAAATTGTAATATTTGTAGCAGTTTAATTTAAGTTGTTTCCTAAAAGTTCTTTTTTTATTTACCTACTCATTTAATAATGTACAAATATTTTGCTGCCCCTGCAATCTCGTTGAAATCACGAACATCTGTTGCTCCGTAAACTGACATGAAATACATCACTTTCCATCGTAAATGTTGCCATCTTTTCAATTTTCTATGAATTTTATTTTTTTCTCTTCGTATGTTCAGAATCTTTTCAAACCTAAAATCGTTTCGAAAGCAGAATATTATATTAAAGTAAATAATTAAAATTAACAAAAAAATTAATATAATACAATAGAAAGGAATAATAACAAATTAATTGAAGTAGTATATTAAAGTATTAAAATAAGTAATATACTAGACATCAGTTTATACATTATTATTAAACGACGTATATTACAGATTCAAAATTCAATTTATACAGATTTGAATATTGTGCGGATAATTTTATAACCAATAATATTCTTAAAATCATTTAGTTTAGTTTTAGAGATTCAAAGACAATAACATGTTGCAATAAAATGAATATTATATTATGTTATGTTATGTTATATATGACAGGATAACGTATTATAATATATTACAATATTTATCAAAAAATATATGTTTAAAGATGAATGCATTCTTAATTTGTTCCATGCTTCTCATTTATTATTCATTAAATTTATTATTAAATTTTTAACTTTTCACATCACAAAATTGGAAAAACGTAACATTTTTATATGAAAAAAAGTCAGGAAATACCTGCTTTGTTTTACTTTAATTTTTAAATGTACCATGGCAGAAAATACTTCCACGAATGTAGATATAATAGGATGAAAATTTCTTATTTCAACGTAGCAACAAAGAAATTATAAATCTTATTAATAAATGATTGATATAAATTGCAGTTAAAATGTGACAAGAAATAATAATGTTAAAATTTTGTTAAATGAAAATTAAACGAAGAATTAAAGTTCCATTTTCAATCTTGAAAGAGGCATGGATTTTCATATATGCAATGTGTACCCTTGATTTTAGAAAATCAACGTGAACCTCTAGTTCTGGCCTGATTTTCGGTCTTTGTTCGTTATACAGTTGATCGGCTATTTGGAAGGAACGGGTTCAAGCTTCTAATTAGAATTCAAAATTTTCTCGCTCATAAGTAAACAATGTTTACAACGTTCTTTTTTTTCGAAAATTTATATTCACGTCATTGAAGCAGCATGTATTATAAATTATTTAAATGAAACGTATAAAAAGATACAATTTATGCTCATGTTTTGTTCGAATAATTTTTATTTAAATTATTTTTAAACTATCAAGTAATTATTTTAATATTAATGACTATAATTGTAATTGACAGTGGACTTGACTAAAATTATCAAAATCAATTTTCTTCAAATTTTCATTAATTTTTGTTGAGTTCTTTTGATAATTTTGATAAAAGTATTTTCGACACAAATAATTATAGAGATATCATGAATATGATAGATGATCGTTGATTGAAAATAGAATTCAAACGTAGATTTATATAGACAGTTTTCAAATTCGAATGAAAGTCAAAATGCAGTTGAATCCGCAAGGTAGAAGAACAGAAAGTCGAAGATTTTTGAAGATTTTACTTGCGGTCACGTAATTCCGACGTATATACTTCGTTCCTATCGATCAAACACTGATAGAGATACTCCCACCTGGAAGGCGAGAGATTCCTGGCCAGTAATAAATAATCACCAACCTGACACGGTAGCAAAGAATGGTTTACAATATATAAAACAGGCTGATAGAACTACAGGTTGGATGAACACTCGCCCCAGGTGTAAGACGTACGAGCCAACAGACTTGCTATGGTTTAAAAATAAGCGAAAAAGCAGGGAAAAGGAAATTCGTGTTGCGTAATCGAATAAATCTCCAAAGCGTTTCAACGATTCTTCTTCGGGGATTTCGAGATATATGATTGCAAAAAAATTTCTGAATGAGGAATATTTCGAACGGTCGGCTTATGAAGGATTTGGAAAGAAACTGTATGATTATACGGTACTGTTAATTTGATTATGTTATTACGGTGTGTCGATTTTGATATTAATATCGTACAACACAAGTTGCACGAGTTTCGATTTCATCTGTGACAGTTTCTTATAAAGTGACATAATATCAACGTAATCAGAACTTTGACCATGTTTGTCGAGAAAATATTTTAATGTCTTTAGTTTCTGTTGAATAGGTAGTTACTAGTTCAGTTATTAGCTGTATTTGTAATTATACCGTAAAATTATATTTAATTAAATTATAATCAGTTACTAGCTGTGTTTGTAATTATACCGTAAAATTATATCTAATTAAATTATAATTAAATCTAATTTTAACGAGGATTATTTAGTCTAGTAATTTCAAGAATTCGTTTAATATCTCTTTTGTCATCATCCCTTTTAGTTGTTTAAAATCCCTTATAGTTGTTTAAAATTGTTTAAAATAAAAGGAACTAAGGTATTGTGATGAGATATTAACTATTAGTCGTTAATTGGTTAATTTTCATTTTTACAACAAATCAAGACATATCTAAATCATTTTTCATGAATAGATTCATATATAAATTTCTATTTTAACTATTATAATACGTTATTGCTAGATAACGAATTTTCATCCAAATTTTTGAGAATATAATTAAAAAAATAGAAAGTTGATGGAAAATTATCTAACGTTAAGGAATGTTACAGAAAGTATCACAAAATATCATGTGTACTCTCCATATATTTTGTACAATTTTTCAGTTTAAAATTTCCTACAAACCTATATAAAAATCCGCAGTCTAGTTATTACCTAAAAAGAATCCGAATTTAATAGTTTATTTCGTTAAAAATTTGTTACCCACCTTATTATTTCATTTTGTGAAAGTCGGTAAGAGGTACACGTGTACTAACACAGCCAAAATGTTTCGAAGGCACGTAAAACTTTAAAAGAAAAGATATGTGTGCGTGTTTCTAACTTAGGAGAGCTATTTCTTTTATTGCTACGGCACACAGCCACGCTGTAAATCAGGGACTTCCGAAAAAGTCTCAGCGGACGCCGACGTATTGGCCCTCTGAAAACCGTTGACTAAGGTCTTAAGAGTCAATTGTGAGGGATAGGAAGAAATTTTCTGGATTAGATGGATGGAGCGCAAGAGTTCTCAAAAATTTCTTTTGTAATGCTTCATCTCTTTGGAAATAATAGTTTCAGTATCAGAAAAAAATCTCGAGGTTTCGCAAGGTGCTGATTAATCATTTTTGGTAAAGTCAATTGTTTTCGAGAATTAAACTTGTTACTGTATAATTACATAAAATAATAGATATTAATAATATTCTTTTATATTTCTCTACTGCGAAAGAAAGAAATAAACAGAAAAAGTTTTAGAAAAGTAAAGTTTTTGCTGTACAAGTTTTCAGAAATATTTATCTCTTTTCTCTTTTTTTGATAAAACTAATATTGTCTATTTGTGTAATCCGCTTTGCAGTGATATAGATTACGAGCGCACGTTTGATTTTGGTTAAAAAAACAAATTAAAAATTTTTAGTATTTGCTGCAGATAGTTTCATAAAGAATTTTTTTACAGAAAAGATATCTTTTTATTCGGAAGCATAAATTTCAAAAAAAATATAAATATAATATAAATTTAAAAATATTTATAGGGTTTTACAAATATAAATAAAAATATTAATTATAAATAAAAATGCTATGTAGAAAGCTTCATTATTTTGTAAGAAAGGAATGCAGAAGAGTATTGTTAATTTTATACTTTGAAGATGCAACTCTCAGTAGGCAGCTTTGTAAAAAGAAAAAAAAAGGAATGATACTGAGATATCTAAAAAAATATACTAAGATTCATAAGTTTAAACAAGCCAGTTAGTTGATAAAATAATTTCAGTATGGTTAATTCGATCTTGAATCACTTCAGTTAAGCTTTGATCATGAGGTCCAAATGGGATTCAGGATCTGTCAATTGATAAAGCCTTAGCCAGAAGACACGGGACAATCAGGTTCTATCAATCAATGAGTTTTATTCACTTAATTTATTTTCAATCATTCAAGATTGCGTGATCCTTCAAGCTTACAGCATCGGCATAAAACATTCTAGCGCAAAATAAATACTGTCACTTTGACAAGGAATTGCATAATGAAGCTTAAATTGTTTAATGTCTTAAATAATTTAGGTAGATACATTTGAAGTTTCTTTCAGTTATTTTGAATATTTTAAATACATATATGAAATGTTGTTTTTATAAATATTTGATGATGAATATAATTATATTTAACGACAGGTCATTTAATTTGTGTTATATATGTATGTATATATATTATATATTGTTGCATATATATATTATTATATAATTGTACTATTATATTAATATAGTGTGTAACGTAATACTGATATATATTTTCATCTCTTAAAATAATTACACAATATTTATATCAATATTAAATATATAATTGATGAAACATATACATATAATAATAATATATACAACAAATTATATAGTAAATATTTAATAAATTTAGTAACCATTATTACACTACGGATTTTTATACAATTTCACATTTTCATGAATACAATTAAAGAATTAATAGAATTAAAGTCTATGTAAAAATTTGTTTCCATTACTAAATGTTGTAATGAATACTTACTTTATGTTCGATATTGCATATAGTACGGATTCCTTGCTATTTTTACACTCTTAAATTAAAAAGTCTACATACCGTATAACACAATTATGTTCATCATCGTTATTAAAATACGGGAAGAATTTTATAAATTATTCCCTTCGCAAGAATTCAAAAAAAATTTTAATGATAAAAATTCCTCATTTACCTTGGAACATTGATTTTCGTTTCTAATCTTCTCTTTAGCATACCTTGCTCCAATTGATTAAAAACAATTTGAAGTTAATAGACATTAGGTTTAATTATCCTCGTGATCTAATCACGAAATCTTGAGTCTGTAATATTTTCACATTGTGTAGTGCAATTTTTAAATAAACCTAATAGAGAGTTAAACTTCCTGTTACGAAAGATAACGAAAAATAACGAAATTTTTGTAGAAAATGGGACATTTCCAACGACACATTTGAAAGTAACATTTTACCTCTTTTATTCTATACACAGACAGAAATTTATTTTTTCTTCTGTTTGGTGTAGAATAAATTTTGCAGCTCTAGTTTTAAATTCTACCTCGTTATTTTAAATTTAAATATCTTACCATTCTTTCCATATCCATGGAATCTATTTTGTAGTTGATAATTTATAATTTTGTGATTTTTAATTTCAAGATTGAGATTAACTTGGGATTAATTTTGAGATTTATAATTTTTAAAATATTTTAATTGTATATGAACTGAAATAGAAATAGTCGCGAATAAAATACAATTCATCTCATTGCATTTTGACTCGATTTATTAGTTATCATTTAAAGTTACTGAAATGCTTTATAATGCTTTTAATGCCATATATTCTCGGTGACAGATTGTTTACTATACATACATCATGTATGAAAAGCAAGATCAGTGATTTCCTGAAGAAACTTTTTACTTTAATTCAGAATATTCGCAGGCTATATTTTAGTGGTTATTTGAATGAATGATTTGTTCTATTACATACATTATGACTTACTTACATGAAGAACGATTTTTCAAAGAGATATTTAACTGTAATTCAAAATACTTATAGAATCAATTTTAATACTTGGTGTTTGAGATCTAAACAAAACTATCGAAAATGAAAACATTAATAGACGATACTTGTTTGATAATACTTTTAATCTTTTAATACTATGATTACGTAGAGATAAGATATCGATATTGTCAACTTATCATCTTACTAAAATTCATAGTGTTTAATTTTAATTTGTATTTTATGTTTTTCGTGACAGAGATTAGTAGTAAAATTAAATTGAATTAAATCAGAAATTTCAAAATTACGCGATACGAGTGATAGTATATTAAATAAAAATTCAATTTAAAAATAAAATATTTTTCAATGCGAAAATAAAAATAAAAATAAAATTTCTCTAATATGTATCTTCTGTTCATTGCACAATTATTTATCAAATAATTAAAAATTCGTACTCCCACTCGGATTACAATCTGAATGCATTATGGAATTCCTTGCAGAAAATTGAATTGAATAAAAATTTGATTTTAAAACAAGATACTTTTTTGAAACGAAAATCACGAAACTTTTTTCTGGTAATACGTACGTTTTAATTGTTTTTAGGTAAAAATTCGTCCCCTTGCAAAACAATTTCAAAATATTTATGTCAAGGAATATTTTCACCGAATTTTCTTACGAAAACGTGGAAAATCAAGCTGTAAATTAATTTCTCTTAGAATCGTGGATTATTTACGATTGCAGACATTTCCCTGCCTACATTACGAACCTAGTAAGTATGCTTCGATATACATAATCCAGATTAAAGTGGCGAAAAGCAAATAGCATGGGGAAGATGCTATTTGGCTTTTAAACGATGCGTCGAGAAATATACATAATATCGAGCTTCTGAAACTGCTGCACATTTGGGAAAGCAACGGCCGTTGTCGTCAAATTTCAAATTCACGTTGCCGATTGAATTAAAGATCACGAAGAATGAGCGCGATTCTCGAGCGAAGGGTGAACGCATTGCTTGCCTAGCACGTAGGAATTTGTTTCTGTCATTACGAAAATTGCGTTGGGGATAATCTGAAAAATGCTGGACGTCGCGTCGGTACGTGTCCAATGAGGTTTCTCTTCGCCGAGTTCCTCGTGTTTCCTCTCCGTAAAAGGGAAATCACGTGAATTGTGGTAGGTGAATATTTTAATGAGAAAAAGAGCAGAAAGCTGGTAAAGACCCCTTGGATTCGACGAACAAAGAAAGCTTCAGAATGAAACTGATTTATTAACGTTGCACGTTTACGATTTTCATCGTACGAAAAATTGACAGAGTAGCAATTATTCTGAAAATGATGAAAAATTGAAAAGGTCAAAAAGAAAAGATTCATATCTTAATTATGCACAGTGGTGAAAAGTTTTAATTTTAGATAGACAAAGCTATCGTGAAGCAATTACAATGCTTATACTCTTGACACTTAATTACAATTTCGTGAACTTGTAATTATTTTACAATAATTTTGTACATATGTATATACTTGTTTAATCGCAAAAATTTGATATTATAAAAATAATGACAACATAGGATAATAAAAGAAGCTTCGTTGAACAATAAATGTGTGCAAATACTTTTCACAATCGTTAAGGTTCTTCTTGAAGAGAAAAATTCAACTATATCGCATTTTTTCCTCTCATTTAACTCAGTCGCAGAGTTTCTTCGTAATTTTCGCTAATTGCTGCGATATCGATCTGCAAGTTACGTGACTCGTCATGAATTTTTCTGATTAACTGATTTCTTCCTAAGCTCTTTTTAGCAAATCGTTAACCAACTGTTAGTTCATTTACTTGCAAAAGAACCCTCAAAAACTTGTAAAGAACAAGAGAATTTTTATCTATAAATTTGTTTATAAATATAAGGAATTGCAAAATTGCACAAAATTCACGTAATAAGGAAAAATACATGTAAAAGCATTCAAATGCTTTAATGAGCTAAGCATTTTTTAAAAATGGTATAGCTGTAATGGTACAAATAAATTCATTTTTTATTTTTTTCAAACGCATTGTTACTTACGACGTAAACGTTTTTGAAAAATGAATACGATGAAACATATTCGGGAGTAGCTTGATGAATATGAATATGCAAAACACATCTCAAACTTTTATGTTGAATCAACTTTAGGAATTGCGAGATGTGGCAATGAAATTCCGAGAGTGATACACTTAAAAATTTTATTTTAAAAATTAAGCAATGTTTTGTTTTTTAATATTTCAGTAAGAATATTACAATATTTTCGTTTAACATTCT